GAAGCCACTCACTCACTCTGAATCCTCGCCGTCCCCCTGAAGGATCCCAAGTCCTGCTCGGAGCTACGTTGTGCCTTCCAGCAGAGTCTGGCATACTGGCAGCACCCCTCCCTGCCCTGGATCTCTCTGTTCCCCAGGATCAATGCTGAGAGAAGCTTTACTGGGAAGAGCACCCCATGGGCACAAGACACAACACTGCAGCAGAGTCTCATGAGTGAATGGTGAGGCTGGAGATGTTAGTTTTAACCACACACTCCAGAGACAGCCCCTTAAAGTCTTCTCTGTAAATCCCGTGTCCTAGAAACCAAAATTCTTTCTTTATTTTTTGGTTTCGCCTAGTTTTGTCAGTCAATCAAATCAAGCATAACTTCAGATTAGTTGAATTAGCTTCAGCACATTAAGCAGCATGTAAACGTACCTGTAAATGTCACTTCAGTCCAGTTAGATGCTGCTTTGGTCTTTAACTGGACTAACGGCACACTGTCTGACCATGACATGTAAGCTACAGCAAGTAGCAAGTCTGTTTACTTTGTCTCTTGTTCTCCTTGTTCTCCTTTCTTTCAACAGAAAACATTTTGACTACAAAAACGGGACTAAAGGCAGTATTTTCCCTCTGATTGTATCCTTCAGGTCAGTCAGTGTGTCGTCTCTCTACAGTCTACTGAAGGCCCGACTGTGTCCTTACTTCTATGTCTGCTCCTATCAGGTAGGTGTTTTTGTTTTTATTATTATTATTATTAAAGTCGATCATGTTAAAATTCATCCAAGTTGTTATTCCCAGTTAATCCCCTTCATCTGTTCTGTCAGTTTACAGTGTTGTTCAGGGCAGCAGGTCTCGGGGGCTCCAGCAGCATCTCTGCCTTAATCTCTCCTACGACCAGGGGTCTCAGAGAGGCAATGAAGGCTGAAGGTGAGCTTTAACTGAGATCACTTCTTTCCATTGCACTAATATTACAGCTTGGAGTGAGATAAAGTGAGATGTTTTCAAATCCTGCACCTTATGTTCACAGTAAAAGTTGTATGTATTTTTCTCACTGGAATCTGGACCGTCGCATTCAATTTGGTCATCTCTTCATTCCTCTTGTGTATCTGTTTAGGTATTGAGTTCAGTCTCCCTCTAGTGGAGGAGAGGCGGAAGAGCAGGGAGCAACATAATCTGACAGCGCACCAGGGAGAGGAGGAAGAGCAGAAGGAGAACGCGCAGGAGTACGTGTGTTTCCCCTCCGTTCTGTGTCCACTCTATATTTACACTCCTACTGGGAGTATGTAATTGTGTGGATTACGGTTCAGTCTGTATGGATGCTGGAAGGCCAACACCAACAGCTCTGCATCAATAAAAAAATTGAATTTGCGTTTATTCAGTTTGTAGTGCTCGGTCGTCATGATCATTTGGATACACCTCAGTACAATCAAAGATTTCCCAACCCCACTGTCCACCTGTCGTCCCTCGATTTATGCAACAGAACGATTAAATAAAACTAAACATCATATATAAGACCTAACCTATAGTAAGAACATTTATTATAACTGTTCTGATCATTTAAATTGTAGGAGTTCTGAGCTGAAAGCGGGTGAAGACTGTCAGGCAGGGGATGAAGGAGAGAACGATGATGACGAAGACGGCAGCTTCTCTTGGCTGAAGGAGATGGGAGTCCAGGACAAAATCAAGAAACCAGACAACATCCTCATCCAACTGTATCCTCTGCTGTCCTGTTAGTGCATCATACTGCTTAACTTACTGCTTAACTTACTATACCAGTAAGAACCACCACTTAAAGCTCCTTAACCCACTGGTGTAGTCGTAAGGAGGGCAACGCTGTGTCTCTGGACCACAAGCCGGAGTCTGTGGTGTGCGTGGAGGGATCACACACTTTCACCCTCATCAACTTCCTTATCAACTGTAAGAGTCTGGTGGCTGCGGCGGGCTCGCAGGCCGGGTTGCCCCCAACACTGCTGGCTCCCGTCGCTTTCAGAGGAGCTACAATGCACACACTGAAGGTATGAAGACACGCACACACACAATAAACACATACACAAGTGGACGACGATGTGGTTTTCTAACGGCCAATGGCGACATGTAGACAGCAGGGCGACGAATGGGCGATATCAAAACAGAGAAAGTTCATGTATAATTCGATTATTCCTTGAACATTACTGAATCGAATATACATGGTTATCTTACAGTAGCATGTTGTTTTTAGATGGATTCTTTTATTAATTAATGAGACCGTAAACTACATCGGTTTATGCTGTAGATTTCAGAACGTGACTGGTATTTGAGAAGAGGAAAAAGTGTTAACATTTAGAAAAAACAATGGTGACTGAGGAACTTTAGGCAAACATTTACAGCAGGAAGTATGAGAGTCAAAGTACAGGGCTGGAAACTCACTTTATCACCACCTTCCCGAAACTCACAAAGGGGAACACGAACATTGTTCCACAGCAGCCGCACTGACGAGGCCGCAGGTGTTATACACTGCTGTTACTGTGTCTGCACATGTCTGAGAGTGTGTGTGTTTTTCAGGCCCGCAGTGTGAATGTGAAGAGCCAGGTTGGTTCTACGTACCAGAACATCAGCAGTCTGGAGATCTCAGGTACACAGCTGCAGGATCTGATCTCCTCTTCATCTGAAAAGCCCATATTTAATATTTGTATACATTTACTGATGGCAGTAAGCGACTCTGTTCTATTAGTGTGTAAACTCACTGGAGGCAGTTTTTAATGGAGTTTAATGCAATGATTTATTTTCCCCCCTCCTTCCTTCAGGACCCATCCTCCCCTCCTCTCTGCACACCGTCACCACCCTCCTTCGGTCCGCACAGAAAGGAAACTTCTCGGGGACTCTTTACACACACACACCAACTGCCGTCATGAACACACCCACCACCAAGGAACAGGTAAGACGGCCCTGTAATGTAAATGTAAAATCTGACTATTAAAGTAAGAATGATCAGATACTGACTAGGTATCTCTAAAATGCCCCTGAGGAGGTCAAACTTGTGACATGGCCTTTTAGTGCAGGTTCTAAAGGAATGTGAATATATTTTTCGAATGTGACTGATAATCCAGACAGGACCGATATTTACATCCAATTTTTTTTGGAGCTTTGTTTTAGTTTGATTCAAAGCCATAAACACGCACTCACTGCTGTGTCTGTGTGTTTGCAGGGTCCCGGTGGGTCTGTGGACCTGTCCGGTTTCGGCCTCCAGCCTGCGTCCATCCAGCAGCTTCAGCAGCCCTCCAGCCTGGGCAAGACTGCTCTGACTCACATCAACATGAACAACTACAGCTACACCTGGAAGAACTGACAGAGGCAAGTGCTGGTGGAGTTTCAGAGTTCCCTCTACAAAAGATGATCTTCCGACTGACCTCATTTTAAAAGGAACAGACTCGGACTGCTTTAACTTCCTGATTTAAAATGCCTTTACAAACAGATTTTATTGCATTGCACTGTATTTTTAATCTCTCTTTTAAAGCTGTGCTCTTGTAATGAATGGATTGTTCTGAATTATTAGATTTTTATTGTAGATAAATGCGTGGTTTGATAGCTTGTTTGAAAATAAATACTTTGAATTTGTTTTATTTTGGAGGAAACTGATTTTTTTTCTCCATTGAATTTGTTCAGTTTCAGCTTTTATCAAATTAAATTTGGGATGCATTGTCACATGTTTTAAGGTTTTATTCACAGTAATGCTGAAAAAATAAATACGTTCTCTGTGGAATTAAGTGTCTGTTTCAATAATCACGGTATTGTTAGTTATATATATATTTAGTAGTAAAAAATTTGATTTTTTTGATGGTGGCATCGATACACATGACAAGAAAATATTTATAGTACTGTATATAATAATATGTCAAAGAAGCACTGATCTGTTATTTGAAGCTGTTTCCTCCAGTGTAGCAGCAGCAGCGCCCCTGCCTGTCTGTACAAGAAGTGTAAAAGCTTACAGCAACCTGGTATTCCCAGGCGGTCCTCCCATCCAAGACTAACCGAGGCCCGACCCTGCTTAGCTTCCTGAGATGGACCGAGATCGGGCGTGTTCAGGAGTGGTATGCGTAAGCAAAGTTCATATCACAAAGAGGATATTTAAAAGTGCTGATCAATTATGATGTAGTCTTAAATATTTTTATATGTACATTTGTTTCAAAAAAAGATGGATAATTTTTGCATAAATCAACCCAGCACCCAAACTGAGATAATAACCAGACACCTTCTGCCTTTTGGCTAGACCATTCACACCACGCCACCACGTCCCTTCACATAAGAAGATCTTCTCTGGGCGCTTTTAATCTCTTCACTTGGCTAATGGACCACAAAACTATCCTCAGCCTCAAATTCAACTTAAAGATTTCAGTGAGGACGAACCCACATCCTCCCAAACCTCCAACCAACCTCTAACACTGTGAGCTATTTGTCCTGAGATTAAAGCCAAGACCTTTTCACTTTTCCTCCTTTCTGCATCCCACTTCAAAGATTCATAAATTGAAGTGGAAAGCTCAAACCGCCCCCACCCCGCGTCTTTCAGTCAACTCCATAACTATCAAGAATGTTTTTTTTTGTTTTTTGTTCTTTAACTTGATATACATCTTTTCCTTTGGACCATTTAACTTCAAAATTCAGAAGTTTCAGTAGAATTGAAAACTGTATCCTCTAAACTACATTGAACCTCCTTAACTTTAGCTATTTAATCTAGTTGCCCTTTTTTTTTCCTTTTTTATATATTTGACTTTTCCTCTGAATATTTCACTTCAAAAATCATAGATTTGAGTGAGGGAACTGAACCCTCAGATCAGAGATTCAGTCATTCTTCTACACCATGAGCTCACTGATAAGAAAGAAACACTATTAGGTTTGTCATCTGAGCTCTTTGACTTCAAAATTCATAACCGTGAATGAAGATCAAACTGACATCACAAAAAGTGGAAAAAAAGTCTAGAAGAAAAATAAAATCTTCAGACGAAAAACAAATGTGTCTATATAAATAGCTCCCGATGTTTGAAGAATGGCTGGAAGACATGCTATCTAATAGTAATATATCGGCATATCGCCACATTATAATAATATAATTTAGTAAACTGACGACCAATAACCCAAATAATGAACTCAGTAATGTAGGAAGTTTGTTTGAAAGTTATTTTCATGTTAGGGAATTTTTTTTATTACAATTCCCTGTATTATGTTTATCATTTTTAACAATCATAGTGAAACAAAGCTGAGGAATATAGGCGGACCCCCAAACCTGCCCGTCCCTCCCCTCGCACTCCACCAAGTGAAGTCTTCTATAGACAGGTTTTTTGTGGATGTCGGTTGTCCAGAGATACAAGTAAGAAGTGGCAGATGAAAGCACTGTCCGGCTGATGGTTCCATCTCGCGGAGAAGTTCTGGTGGTGTTGCCATTGCAATGTTCAATAAAATTAATTTAAAATCCATAACCCCCTCCTTTCCATCTTTCCGAAACCCGGGAGGGGACACGGCCTACCTGTCCTCCTCCCTCTGCAGCGGGGCAAGACTCAGGAACCCAGCACCGAGCGAGACTCGAACCAGACACTTCTGCCTTCTGGCCACAA